AGAGATTCCCCCAGCCCCACCCCAAACTGCCCCACCCTCACCTATTCATTCTTTGAAGGGAGCAAGGCTAGTCTATGAGAATTTCCACGGGAAACGTTTTTTCTGTCCACCTCACCATCCTGATCCTGTGTCCTCAGACTTTTTAGCTCCCCATAATCAAAGAACATTTTTACGAGGAACACAATTTGAGTCCCATGAGAATGCCAAAAGTGTCCCTTTGATGTCATCTGTGGTTTGATGATGTCATTCTGCTCCGTAAATCACAGAGCAGAGACCCTGGAGGAAGACGAGGGAGAAGAAAACACCGCCTGCAGACCTACAAGACAGGGATGTTGAGAAACAGTGGCTGCATAGTGTGATAATTTTAATAAATATTTCTGTGATGTGCTCCTTCTGTATGTGTTAAGCATATGCCCATCTTGTTTTTGAGTTGGGTGGCATCTTGCATGGAATGGAATGATAGCAGTCTTGTCCTTTTATTTCTGAATAGCAGTTACCTCATCTGCAAGTGGCATAATATTTAAAGAGCTCACATATGTGACAACTCGTAGACTATTTTAAATACAGTCTACACGGTGGCTTTTATTTTACAAGTGGACACAGTGGAACTAAAAAGTCTTTTATACTAAATTATTATATGTACATAAATGCACACAACATATAACCATGAGCACTGTGAACCGTGGGTTCACAGAGTAAATGTTAACAGAAGGTCCAGCTTCCCACTCGGCCCTTTACTGTTTCTAAGATCAAGTCAGACAGGTAGGGGGCCTGTCTGAAACATACTCACATCGTGACAATGACTGGACTGGAAAGAAGCGACAAAACCAAAATACAAAGCTGACCAAAAAGTAACCACATGTGCTCGATTCTTACAAACCTTTACTGGCAAAGCTCTCATTGATGAAGAATAGACTAGAGGAATTTTTATAATACTTCTTCTCCACCAAGCCACATATATTCTTCCAATATGATGCAGTAAAGGGAAAATACCACGGTTTCCTTAAACCGAAAGTTCCTGAAATATAAGATACGATTAAAATAAATTTATTTTTCCTTTTTATAAAAAGAATTCTGTAATGAATTTATAAAAAACGTCTGTAATGAAATATTTTAATGAGTTAATAGGTACTGTTATTTGAGTCTTTTCAAGGCCCACTCTGTGTGTAAACCAGAAACATGAAGGAGAACAGAGTGACTTAGCAATCGCAGCCAGGACCTGATGTTCTTCCTCTCTTCCTGACATGGGGTCAGCAGCCCATAAAGCCTGCAATTCCAGGGAGCTGCTGGCATTCTGCCACATTCCTGCCAACCTTGTATCTATGTGACGCTGCACCCACCAACCAGTGATCGCGCAACTTCCCACTTCGCCTTCCAGCTTCATCGGCTGGCAGCTGTGTGAGTCTGGCTGGAGCTCTAGCTCGCATCAGACCCATGGACTTGAGTTGAACTCCACTGGGTTCCTTCCTTGATCTATCTTTCTGGATATCTAGTTCTTTCTTCTACATTTTTAAGTGCACTTCTTTTTGCATCTTTGGAACATTTAGCCTAACAGGTGGTCAATATATATGGTGTGAGTAATTGCTGCATATCTCCCACAGAGTAAACATTTGATGGTCCCGCTTCTAGGCTTCTTCTGTGTTACTGGTGCTCTGGAGGTTGCCATGAGTTACTAGAAAAGGAAACGTGAACATGAGGTGACTGCATGGAGGAATTAATAAAAATCCTAAGAAGAAAATGCACAGTGCCCATAGTCCTATATGAAACTGTGGTAATTATATAATCGTTTGTCAATTTGAGGATTAAGAGTGAAGGGGTGGAGCCTAGTCATAGTCAACGATGCCTCTGTGAGGGCATGGCTTTCTCCTGAGGATTCTGGGGCATATGGATTTTCCTCCTGGGAGGCGGAAGACTTCTCTTTCTCTGCTCACGTCCTGTAAGATATCCTTGAGGAAAAGCCACATGGACCTACCCTGATGCAGCCCTGGGAACTGGAGAAGCCACGTTGAGACCCCTACCAGCACTGAGGTGCTTACAACACCACTGGATCCAAAGACTTTCTACCCACTGGCCTGTGATTGTCCTGCATTCAGCGTCATTGCATGTGTTTCGTAAGTCTGAAGAGGACTTCATAGATTGATATCGGACATATGGGCTAATATTGGACTTACGAGCTTAGACTGGACTAAGCTGGGGTGTTTGCTCAATATTCAGATGCTCTTGTATCTAAACCTCTTTCTTATATACATATGAGTGTCTGTGGATTTGTTTCTCTAGTCTACCCAGACTAACACAGAAACATATCAACATTCTATTTGAATGACTGAAGTCTACATGAAGAATATTTTAGCATGTTGACCATCACACAAAGGAGAGAGATGCAAGTCTCATGAAGTCTAATTAGAAGACTCAGAAAGATGATCGCGTACTAAAAGTTCATTTGTGATCCTAGCACAGGTCTACTATTTGCCATTCCTTTATGGAGTCAGCATGAGGAGCACATAGATATGCCATGTGTATCACAGGCAGTATTTAACTTGTTCTGTATCCCAACAACTCTTCATAACCTTCATTTTCCCCAAGTCACATATTCTATCCCTACCTGAAGCAGTACCATTGAGAGACAAGAGATAGAACAGCACATATGCAGACAGGGCTAGGGGAGGGAAGGGGGCTCACATACACATACAGGAAACACTGGGAATGGCAGGATATCTGGCTGGGGTGATTTCAACAGCCTAGAGTAACTTTAAATCTTAAGTCAGCAGGCACCAGACCCCTGGATTAATTTTAAACCAAAGTCGGCAAATCCATAACCCGTTTGGGTGAACCATTACCTGATTACTTCCTTGTCCATGCCCATGCAAGACCGCAGCATGGCCAGAGCCTGACCAGGTACATGATTGGGTCTGAGGAATGTTATTAGACCCCATTCATAAGCTGGACTGGTCCATTCATAACCTGGAGACCCAGACCGACTAAGAACTCCACATCCAACAAAAAAGCCCAAGCAGAGTTCCTTCAGCACCACCCCACTGGAGTCCCCACAGGCTGTGCCAGGTGATTTCCTTTCCTTTGTAAATAAACTTGGCTTTCTGCTTGCTGTTTGTGGTCTGTGAGTCCATTCTTCGATTTGAGAGTCCAGCAATAACTGGGCACATCAAAGCAGGTGCAATCTTTCGACGTCCAACTTGGAATGATAAGTGAAGGCACTCCTGCCTGTGCCCTTGCTTTCGCCTTCCCCGCTCCGTTTCCTTCTGGGACAGGTCAGGTCTGTTTGCCGTCCACTTTGAAATGGGCAGCAGAAACCCACCTCAGGCTTCTGCTTGGACCCGAGCAGCTGGGCCTGTGTGGAAACGCTTCCCCTTCCTTTTTCTGCATCTCTAGTTCGACTCCAGAAAGGCCAGGGGGCCCAAAGATCCAGTTGATCTTTCGGCACTGAGTGAATGTCCTGGGACTTACCATGGAAGTTCTGGGGTCTCATTTTGGCTCTCCCAACCCTTTTTGTCCTTCCTTTCCCCATGATATATGGGGAGTCCTCTTTAGCAAAAGCCATCGCTCGCTCACTCACTGACATGGAGTCAATACTGACTCACAGTGACCCCCAGCAGGGTTCTGAAACAGTAACTGTTTACAGGGCTAGAAAGCCGTCTTTCTCCCTTACAGCTGCTGGTGGTTTCGAACTGCTGACCATGAGGATTGGAGCCCAATGCGGAACCACTACCCCATTGAGAAAAATATTCCTTAGTTGTCCTTGGTGCCCCAGGACTTTCCTCCAAAGAAGCCCTTCCATATTCACAGGGATAGGTACAGTTGGTAGACACTCTCAGGGGGATAACAGGAAGAACAGAGATCCCAGAAGACCATTCATCTTCCTTTTCAGGGTATGACATGTTGTGTAAATTTCATAGTCTTATTGCCCCAATGTCTTTTTAAGCACTATCCTTTGAAACATTAAGTCAGGAGCCCCAAAATTACATCTCCTCCGTGATGAGTGGCCCCGCTGGTTAAGTAGTTCAGCTCTTGTTTGCAACAAATGGACTGGAAGAGATTCCAGAAGGCCACTGCATGCCTTTGACAGCAAATGGGGAGTCAGAAGTTCATTGATTACCCTTTGTTCCAAGCAACCACAGGGGCCACACTTTTTCCCCCTATAGGTTTTAATTATTTGATCCCTATTAATTCGATTCCTATTGAGAGCTAAATGGCATCTTCAGAAATACTTTTATTGGATGGCTGCCCGTGGAGCTGCCAGCAGCTGACCTCTTCTTTTACTGGACAACAGGGATGAGCCCATGCACCAGGGAAAGTTTTTCAGGTATCAGAGCTGAGAGGGTATTGGGTTACTCCTATGTTGTTAAGGTATGATGAATTGGGAGGGCCAAGGTGCCCAGGCATCATAGAGTTTCAAACCTTGTCCATAGGGATTCAACAGCCAGAATTTCTTGCTCACAATGCAGGTCACTGTGACTTTTTTTTTTTTTTAATCCTCCCACTTCTCTCGTTCCTGAAATGGGTACTTCTTCGTGGTTCCCACCTGACAACACTCTACTGGGCTGCATATTGAAAACTTAGTCCCCGTTTGACCCCCAAACCCCGAAGAAAGGTCATTTGGTTTTCTTCTGCAAAAAGGTTTGGTCCCCAGTATAAACTATTTGAGGGAGAGCAATGGCCCCCTGACAGAAGAATTAATTGTAACAACTTCCTACAGTTAGAATTATTTTTAAACAGGAGGGCAGGTGGTCTGAGGTTCTCTATGTGCAAGCTTTTTTTTTGTCCTCTAAGAAAATCAGAAGTCATCATCACAACAAAAAATCTTACCATAGTGAATGATGGGGGGAATGTGGAGTGGAGACCCAAAGCCCATTAGTAGGCCACTGGAGATCCCTTGCAGAGGGGTTGTGGGGAGGAGATGAGCCAGTCAGGGTGTGATGTAGCAACGATGAAAAATACAACTTTCCTCTAGTTCCTAAATGTTTCCTCCCCACTCCCACTATCATGATACGAATTCTACCTTGCAAGTCTGGCTAGACCAGAGGATGTACACTGGTACAGATAGGAACTGGAAATACAGGGAACCCAGGGAGGATGATCCCTACAGGACCAGTGGTGTGAGTGGCGATACTGGGAAGGTAGAGGGAGAGTGGGTTGGAAAGAGGGAACCGATTACAAGGAACTATATGTGACCTCCTTCCTGGGGGATGGACAACAGAAAAGTGGGTGAAGGGAGACGCCGGACAGGGCAAGATATGACAAAATAACAATTTATAAATTATCAAGGGCTCATGAGGGAGGGGGAGCAGGGAGGGAGGGGAAAAATGAGGACCTAATGCAGGGGGCTTAAGTGGAGAGGAAATGTTTTGAGAATGATGAGGGCAATGAATGTATAAATGTGCTTTACACAATTGATGCATGTATGGATTGTGATAAGAGTTGTATGAGCCCCTAATAAAATGATTAGGAAAAAAAAAAGATAATCAGAAGTGATAGAAAGTTTGTTATTTTGACATGTTTCTCCTCACAACTTTAGCGGCTAAGGGAACCAAGACGATTTCCAAGTCTTTGGTACCTCCACTCTGCAACTAGAATTTTTGTAGTTTTGGTGAGCCCTTCCTGTCCCCCATATCCAGGGACCCCTGTGTCTACTGGGGCTACTAAAATCCCTGAAAACAAAGTTCGTTCTAGACACAAATGAGAGCTCACTAGAGCTCTACAATGCCCTCTTAACAAACTGGGGCCAGAACTTTTTATCAAGGTGCACTTTACTCATTCCCTTCTCCCTCTCTGACTTGAATCTGGAAAAGTCCTCAGATGACCCCAAAAAGAATATAGATAAATTCCGGGAAGTAGCCCAGGCTTTTTACCTTTCCTGGAGCGATGGAATGCTCCTGCTAGACCAGGCCTAACCAGTTCAGAGAAATTCATACTGTTAGAAGCAGTTCAGACCTTTGGAAACATTTTAAACACAGAAGGTGACATGGCTACCAAGGAAAATGCCTGATTCCCCACTGGAAATCA